AATTGGCAATATTTGAGAAAAGGGTTTAGCGATTTCTAATTATTGGGGGGACTAGCCCCCCTCAATGTCTACAGTGGTTATCGCCCTGATCAGACATGAAAATATGTTGTGGCACTATCGTGCAGTCTATAATTATATGACGTTAGTTAGCAAATATAGCGATTTTTTGCAAACATTTATTTGAGTAACATGACCGTAAATATGAACTCACGATTGAATGTAACATAAAACAAATGATTACTTTTCGTTAAAATCTTTATTAATGCCAAAAATGCTTACATTTATGTGTCTTTTTGTTCGCTCGGGCAGCCATGTTGCCCCTGAAGACGGTTTACGCTGCGATAACTCATCGCCCTTCGTTTAAAGTGTGGTCCCGAAAAATCTTCGTTTGAAGGGCTGTCTGGCCCTTCCCGTCCCCCTACCCCTCCAACCAAAAGGGGTAGGGGAAAGGGGAAGGGCTAAGGGGTAGAATTGGGATTGGGCCTAAGTGTCATCACTCTAGCTTGTTTCTGACTGGAGGCATTGAGTGTGTCACAATTGCCCCTGGTCTATTTCTGTTGAATGTATGACAAGACAAGAAAGACATGATGATAGTCACAGTGTTCATACTCACTTCCTGTGATGCAAGAGTGGATGCTCCAATGACAGAGCATGTGAGAGCACAGTGTGGGAATTTACATTTATTACTAAGGATGATAACAATGACTATAAAATTTTAATAATCATTCTAATTCTATGAGAATAGTGAGTCTATACTACATGTATAATGATAACGACACAGAAGAATGATATCGTTGGCGTCACTTTGAGAACTTTTTTTTTTCAAGCTGATGAACAATAAAAATATTGACAGCCAATCAGAATGCACCTTTAAAGACTTTAAAGAGCTTGAGCATTTAAAGCTTCTGGCTTGTCATAAATGTGAACACAAACACATCTAGTTGTTGTTGCATTCCGAAATTTGTCAGACCACTATTCATAATGCAACCTAAGCATGTGCTACACTGCAAAAATCATTTTCTTGCCTAGTATTTTTGTCTTGCTTTCCAGGAAAAATATTCTTAAACATCCTAAACATTCTTAAATCAAGATACATTTACTTAAAGGTAGAGCTGTAGTCAAGTCCAGCTTTGTCGAGTCCAAGACCAGGACTAGTCGAGACCGAGTCAAGACCGAGTCCAAAGAGGTTCGAGTCCAAGTCAAGTCCAAGTCCAAAAGTTTCGAGTCCAATAATTGAAATCTAAGCCAAGATGGAGAAACAGCTGATCATAGCTGTACAAGGATAATCATTTTTTTAAATAAATTTAGCAGCAGAGCTACTGCAAGGGATTTTTAGTGCTGCAAATCCATTTATCCTTTGCTGAAACTTCCGCGTCTTCATGGAGAGCAGGTCATGGTTACTTAGCAATGGCAGGCGCAACGGGAGCACATGCATAGAGTGCAGGTTACAGATTGCTTTGGAAAGAAGGAGAAAGCGGCGAGCCTAGCGTTTTCCACGCTTTTTCAGGCGCGACAGGCAAATGTGGTTTTGTTTTGAAGGAGAAAAAAAAGCATATTGCTGGACTCGGTTGAGACCAACGAGAACATTTGGCGAGTCCAATGACCAAGTCCGAGACAAGTCCGAGTGCAAACACCAACGAGTCCGAAACAAGTCCGAGACGATAGAAAAATGTCTCGAGTCCGGACTCGAGTACTACAGCCCTACTTAAAGGTGGGGTAAGCGATTTTTCAAAAACACTTTAGAAAACGGATTCGGGCCGAATTGCAAAACAAACTTGTAGCCAATCAGCAGTAAGGGGCGTGTCTACTCATTGTGGAGGAGAGAGATTTCAGTGCACAGGACGGACATTAGCCGAGCCGAGAGACAGAAAGATAGAGATGGCGGATAAAAAAGCCAAAGAGGAAAACGTCTGCGGAACAAACGAAGGCATACGGCAAGAAGTTGGACCCGTGTAAATATCGAATCAGCTTTCCAGCGCTGGAGAGAACTCAAGGAGCGGAAGGCCTGCGATCGGACACCGAGGTTGCTTTGTTTCTTCTCGATAAGCGAGTAACA